CTGAAGTGCTTTCTTAAAAACAAAAGACTGTGGAGTTTTTTTATTTTTAGGTGGTTTATAAACCGGTTTTTACTAACCTGCAGTTTATATATATTTAGTTTTTTGTTAGTCAGTCATGCACCAGAGTAATCACAGTTTACCGATTTCCCGATCAAATTAAAATACTCATATCAGTTATTTAATTTCTCCCAAATTTATCCAAGATGGGGCAGATTTAAGTTTTAATAGTTATCAATCCTAAATTTCGAGAACTTCTTTATTCCTCTAACTGATTTGTCGTCTTACACACAGAAGATTTGCAATCGGGAAATCCTGGGTTCGAACCCTAGAGGATGCGTGCTGCCGAAGAGTCACAAACTAGGACGAAACAATTGTCCAACACTCTCAGGTTTCCCAATGTTTCTCTAACCGGTGTCAGCTAATGATGAAATACCGTAAATTACAACTTAATTTTCACTATTCAGTTTCACCAGTTTCAATTAAATTATAAAGTTTATTCCCTTGTGGTCTGAGCAGGACTGTGGAATTCCACAGCACATCTCGATTTCATTCTGTTTTCGTCAGTCCTTTTTAGCTCATTGTACATTTGGCCATATACTTTTATTTCCTCTTCACATGATCTTCTGCACGTCGTCCTCAGACCTATACACAACTCATCGTTCCCCAACGAGTTTGCACTCGAGGGACTGACAAGTGGTTTCACGCAGTGGTATTCTCAGCGTATGTCCTATCCAGTTCAAACTACTCAACAATAAATATTCATTTTTCCTTTTGGTCAATATTCCACACACACACACAAACCATACCAAAATTCTCTGTATATATTGATGATTAAATTATTTGAGGACTCAGGTGACCGATAGGACAACTTTAGTGCACAAAACAAAAAAGGTAAAACAAAAAGAGATTTTTGAAGAAGAGCATCTCTGCTCATTCATTAAGTACACACTAGTTGCTTACTTTTAAAAACAAGTTCTCCCGCAAAATTATCTATAGTGCTGGGAAAGAAAAAAAATTAACAACAACAACGAAAAAATGCACATCCAGATTTGAAAATAAGAACAAACAGTTCAGTGAGCAGTCTCTTTTCGGTAAATCTATTCTGTATTCGTGATTGTGTATACAGTCTTTCAGGAAACCAATCTTCACAATGACTTCAGCAAGTTTGACAGAACATCGCAGAAAACCATTGAGTTCCTTCATTGCCGAAGTGTCCTCGCGAATTTTTAAATCATAAAAATACCTATCCAGATATGAAAATAAGAACACGAATTCATCCCCCTATCGGGAATGAATTACGCTAAAAGAGACTCTTCATTGAACTGTTTATTCCTGTTTAAACTATAGAAAAATAAGATCTCCTTGTTGCCGGTAGATAACAATTACATCCTGATAGGCACTATTTAAAGTCTGAGAACAACAGTTAATTGATTTCATCTCAAATCTGACAACGGATATGTATCATTTAGAGAACCACTGGAAACTGCGTTGTCTTAGTCAGTCGGTCGGTCGGTCGGTTTTCGACATAGAACTTTGCACATATGTGCGGCAGTTCAAGTCGCCACACTCCACTCCTTGTAGCACACAAAGCAAGAGAAGAAAGTAGAAGAAATGCATAATATAGACAGTAAACAGAGGTGTGAGACAAAGGAATAGTAATAGCGGAGAACAAAACAGTTTAATTGGAAATCATAAGTCACAAGGAGTGGATGCATCTGCGCCACTGAGAACGATTTTGAGCCATGTCACCAATTGTTTCCAACCATTGGTTTTTACCATCCCGAGGGCCCCAACCAGGAAGTCTACATCTTCCTACGTGGCTTAGATTAACTGTTGTGGATTTCATTGATTGGTGCCATGTTTTGGTTTGACCGCCGCTAGCTCTTTTCCAGCCTGACCCTATATCAGCTAACATTGCCCGTCGAGGAAGGCGATGACTAGGCATACGTATCACATGTCCCAACCATCTCAGTCGAAGTAATTTCACAGTCTCGTCGATTGATTTCCCCGCCTTACCTAGCACTCGACGCCTAACCTCAATATTGCTCACCTTATCATACCTCTTCACACGGGAGATAGAACGCAGGCACCTATGATCGAAGGCAGCTAATCTTTTCATGTCTTCCACTGTCAATGCCCAGGCCTTAATGCCATAAAGGGGGACGGAGCGGACTGTTGAGCAGTACACACGCCCTTTGGTTGATAGTCGGATATCGCGTCTACGCCAGAGACGGCGAAAACTGGCGAATGTGAACCTAGCCCTCTGTATTCGTGCTGAAATTTCGTCGGAGATCAACCCGTTGGGGCTGATGGTACTTCCCAAGTAAGTGAAGCGGTCAACGTGTTCTACCACTTCACTTCCTATTTCTAATCTAGGGGTCGATGAAGTCCAATCCTGCAGCATCATCTTACATTTTATAGGGGCGAATCGCATGCCAAACATGCGGAGATTGTTGCTCAGGGTGTTCAGTAGACTCTGCATTTTGTCAGAGTCCTCGCCTAGAAGGGCTATATCGTCCGCATATTCTAAGTCAACGAGATTCTTCCCTGGTAGCAAGTCAATCCCTGAGTCGCTGAAGTGAGTTAGGGTTAAGTCCATTAGTACTGTCTTAGTCAGTGACTCATGGGCAACACGTACCCAGGGACCGGATCCTAGTGGATGAATGGTGTACAAACTCGTTTTGTAACCGGAAGGTCCTACGTTCAAACTCCGGTGGGTGATCAAATTTGAATCAGATCAGACTTCTACAAACTAACTCTTGAAGACTTCGCCTGCGTCCTCGCATATTTAGTTTACACTGTAGCATCAAATATCATATTCTTAACCGATGCACTCCAAAATCTTACCAATTTGATAGTGAACCCTAGCATCCAGCTAGCAACTTCACTCCTCAGAAATGAACACCACCATTACTGAAAATTGAAGGCCTATATTCCACTAGGAACTCAAGGAAGGAAACAAGAAATCAGGTAAATAAAGTTTCAAACTAAAATCTTAGAAAAGAAGCAAACACTTACCTGAAATGTAACTGTTTCGAATAGTTTTCTAGCTGAAGTAAGTTCATGTAAAGTAATTTCAATAAAGAAAATAATCCGTATTTAGACATTTAGAAGACGAATGGAGTAAGAAAAGAAACATTTACTTTTCAATTAGATCCTTATCTCTGAGCGTACAATTAGACAGATTCATCATCGTATTTCGGAACACGATCTATTCGTAGATCTGTTTTAGCACACCTCACAGGCAGTAAGCATAAAGTTGATAATAATAATAAAGCATTTAAAGTTATATATCACACTCCCACTAATATAAATTTTGCTTTATGAGTTCATCTTGTAAATACAGTTGAAGCTACCGGAATCCACCTGAAGAAGAAATTTGTGCAGCTATTTTCCATACCTTGGCCAACATTAAATGAATTTAAAACCTGATAATTTTACCCTGCCCCTAAGTCTTCTACAACCTATCATTTTCAAGAGTTGATTTGTTTTTTGATTTTGACCACGAATTGATATCAGTTAGAGAACCATTGTAAAACCAACAGACAGTACTGGACGGCTGTTTGGGAATCATCGGCAGCACGCACCTACTGCCAGGGTGCGAACCCAGGACCTTCCGGTGACAAGGCAAGCTCGTATACCATTCAGCCACTGGAACCCGACTCAGTGTCTAAATTATTTTTATTTATTTATTTATTTTTTGACCACATAATCTTTAATTACAAGTTATAACTATCTAAATAATTTATTTTAAATATTGGTTTTGTAGGAATTTTTTTGTTTTGATTGCATTGAGGATTTCATCATGAGCTGACATCAGTTTACGAACCACTGGAAAATCTGGGAGTACTGGACCGGTGGTTGCGTACTACTGAAGAGTCCCAAACTAGAACGAAACAGCTGTCCATTACTCCCATATTTTATTTTACTGACTCCTTCATTTTTAATTGTCTATCATGTGATCAAACTGAACACTCACTTATCCCTAATTACTCTTTATTTTCCTCTAAAATTATGCATTATGCAATCCACTTTTTGTAATCACTTCAACACTTTAACTGTTTGCATAAAATTTCTCTGGTTAATTATTACCCTCCTGAAATGTTGATATTGATTAATTTTTGTTAACAAGCTTATCGTTACTAGACTGGTAAAGACTTTTTGTATTGTATTAAAAATGCTATAAGTGTATTAGAGTAGAGCCAGAGATGAGAATCTAACCGAGAAGTGAATATTTCTTCACTCAGTCCTTTTGTCTTCTATTAGCAATTTCAAGCCTTCAAAACTTATCAACGCTAAATGCACAAAACGTTTAACTACCTGTCAAAACATTTGATATGTTTATTAATTTCAAAAACGGGAACACTTTATCTTAGCTAAATGAATAAAGAAATCTTCCCATCAAACAAAGAGAACCGGGTGAACGTCAGCGAGCTCCAGAAATGGATACAGCGAGATAGGCCAACGAAGACGCCAGCACCAAAAAGATCAAGCCGACTTCAGTCTAAACTATTTGACTGGGGGGGGGACGAGTGTGGTAAGAGCTGTCTGCTAGCCAAAATTCGTAGACAGCAATTTGCGTCAATGCCTACGTCCCAAATCTTGGTTAGGAGAAAAAAATAAGAACAAAGACTAACTCAACAAACAATCACAGCAAACTTTGCGTGGGTGGATACGATTAGCGGATATATGGTCTGACCATCAAAGAAACAGTCACAAAGAGATGAGATTTATCTAACGTTAAATATAAGTGAGGCCTTTCCTCACCAAATTACTACACATACGAAATTTACTAGTTTGTATATTAACAACATTAGACTATTAGGGAATTTGAAGTCAGCTACGATTGGTTTGTTTAAACGACTGCCTCTTCAAGGTCATGTGTTTCATACACATTAATTTACATTAACATATTTTAAACGACATGTTAAATTGAGTATTTTTTTCCTAACATACCTAACTAATCATCATAGTATTTTTTTTTCTTTATTTTACATTAGAACCGAATGTATCACAGGAGGAACAACAATCTTCAAAGGAAACCAATGACGCAGGGAAGACATCAACTAGAGTAAATAATAACTGTAATGAAATATCTAATGGAAAAAATATCACTTATCACATGAATCAAATACAAAAAAGTGATTTATTACCACTACACTATGTATTCTATGTTGAAGACAATCAAAAAACACTCAAAGCATTTGTACACGGCGGTAAAATCTCATCGATTGCCTATGATACACAATGTCATGTCTACTATCATGCAAGACACAAGCATATAATTCAGTCAGTTAAAACTTGTGAACAGAATATGAAATCAGTGCATGCTAAAAAGAATATGAAATATGCAAGTGATGATTATGATAACAATAGTAGTATCAGCAGTAGTAATACTATACATAATAGCAGAATAACTGAACCAGCCTTGTTTTATCAAGGTAAACAAGTACGTCCAGTGACTGTAGCAGCACCAAATATACATAAGCTGAAACAATTCTTAGAAATGCTTGATATGCATTATCCAGAATTTGAAGCAAGCGCATTTTTATATGATCATTTAGTATGATGTATGAAAATGAAAGGAAATTTCAAGTTTAAATGTTATTGTTCAATCTATAAAGTTAATCCATGTGTCTACTTGAATAATTGATGTCACTATTATGGACAATAACTTAACTGTGCTGATATTTTGATAAAAAATAATTATACACTGTGTGTAATGTGAATATGTAGATATCAGTGTTACCTTTAACTGAATAAAGGTGAAAATTGCAATACATGTAAATATATACAGTGTGTTAGCAGTATCGTAGTAAAACTTGACTATTATATCTGATATTACATCGACTGAGATGGTTAGGACACGTGCTACGTATGGCTTGTCATCGCCTTCCTCGACAATGGGCAATGTTAGCTGATATAGGGTCAGGCTAGAAAAGAGCTAGCGGCGGTCAAACCTAAAAATGGCACCAGTCAATGAAATCTACAAAAGTTAGTCTAAGCCACGTAGGAAGGTGTAGACTTCTTGACTAGTTGGTGTCCTCGGGACGGTAAAAACCAATGGTTGGAAACAATTGGTGACATGGCTCAAAATCGTTCTCAGTGGCGCAGATGCATCCAGTCCTTGTGATTTATGATTTCCAATGAAACTGTTTTGTTCTTCGTTATTACTATTCCTTTGTCTCACACCTCTGTTAACTGTCTCTAATAAGCATTTCTCCTACTTCCTTCTCTTCCTTTGTGTGCTGAGTGAAGTGTGGCGACTTGAACTGCCGCACATATGTGCAAAGTTCTATGTCGAAAACAGACAGATTATATCTGATATAAGCTGAACTTTGATAAGTGATTGGGTCCGTGTTTTAGTCAAGCTTATTGATATCTTCAGTGATAACTGCATTATGAAGTCTCTTAGGTAGAGTATCTAGCTTACACACTATGGATAGGCTGTAGAATTTTGAAAAGATTGATCTCGAACCACTACGGGTACTTCTTTGTGGAGTGCTCAAAGATTCTTACGTTATTCAACTTCGTTTGGATTTGACTGTTGAGGTGTTTTTGGTTCAGTTTTTATCTAAATGTCAATTGACGCTTTTGCAATCCAGTAGCCGTGTAGCTTATTTGTTCTTAACATAATCCGTATTGATAATAATAACGGTTTCTCATCATCTCATGATGATGATAATAATGTCGCTATTAACTTGTCAAATGGCAGTGATTTTGTAATTTTCCATTATTCTCTAAATAATAGGCACCAATTTTGTTATAAGAATAAAACTCAGGTGCTGGGGTAGTGTATAATTCCATATTATCATTATAATTGTTGTTCCCTTTGGTTCCCAGCTGAAAATTAGGCTTCAAAAGAATATCTTCACTTTGTCCTATTCTCTGCGGTCCCCTTTAGCTAGTCACAAGATTCCACATAATCTCTCATCTCTTCACATGGTCTTCTCCATGTCATCCTCGAACCTACACCCAACTCTTCGTTTACCATTCGGGTTACACTCGAGGGCCTGGCGAGCCATGTCACCCATTGTTCTACTCAGTATGTATCCGATTCATCTACATTTTATTTGGAATGTATTGAACTATAGGTTCTCGAAAGATTTGTTCCCAGAGTTTCTTGTTACTAATTCTCTGTGGCCATGTAATCTTCACTGTGGAGTGAAGGCAGACGTTGATGAAAGTCTGCAACCTGTTCGAAACGCTTTTCGTGATGCAATAAGTTTCTGAACCATATAGAAGAATTGACTTAACATTTGTGTTGGAAATAAGAATTTCATTCTTTATGCTGAGTGCAGAAGATTCCTAAAGTGATTTCAGATTGATGAACTTTTGTCTTACCTTCTCAATCCTGACTGGCTTTGACATCCTTATGTGTGACATCAGTTGTAGCTGTAACTGTGCTGACTGCTTAGATAAGTGAAGGAAGTGATCACTTTGAAATTTCTTTATTTGATAACTGTTGACGCTTGTTGTTGGTTGGTTAGTTATCTTCATCAGCCCTGTCTTCTATATGTTCACTCGAAGTCCTGCCTTTTCTTAATCGACATTATGTCGTTAAATCATCTGTCAGGGCGAAATCTAAGGGCAAACAGAAGTTAGTACAGTACGTTTAAATTAGTGAGAAAAACCACCAACAACAGACGAGTATTCAGTTATTCGACAGCTGTTATTTTTTTAATTCCTTTACGTTCCCAATGGAACATGGGGTTTCAAGCTAGGGGCTTGAAGTTTCGGTAGCAGTGGTATTTATTTTTAAAGGATGAGGTTGCCAGCCTAATGCCCAATCTTCCCTCTTTACCGGTCTTATTACTGGCTTAGCGAGGTATAGGAGTGAGTCAGTCGGGGGTCGAAACCCGGACAGTATGCGTGATCGGAGAGCATCCGACTGCTGTGCCACCGACGCGCATTTGACAATAGTGCCAACAAATATTCACTTGCATGGTCAACATGAAATGTGGATACCGGAGATAATCTACTACGAATATACATTTCATGCAAACTATCCTAAGTTATTCGGAACCAGATACTCTGAATAGTAATGCTTCATAGCAAGATGAAAATAGAATTTATGGCATCACATACCTGTATAGGAAGAAAAAACAACATACAAGTTGAACAGCACAGAGTAAAAATAAGGTAAAACTCCTTATATATATATATATATACCACATGAAGTTATTGATGTCTTATAAAAACCAATGAAAGCAGGTAAATATCGACAGATAGAAAGAGAGACAGAGAAAAATGGGTAAAGTACAAAAATAAGCGCCTTATTTTAAGATTCTAATGAAATAAACGATGCATATACCAGAGCAATCATTTTGAATTTTTAGCTCATTGCTATCTAAATATCCAGTTACCTGCATATTATGGAAGTTGTGAAAATGCTTTCACCGAAATGGACCAATCATCAGTTCGCATCTAATAGAGTCGAATCAGAGTAAGAGGAGGAAATGAAATTTAAAGAACTATTAAAGAAGGAAAATTGATTAACGTTGAGTTAATTTGGTTGGTAGTGACTAACAGTGGAGCTGAAGACGTGCATCCCCTACATTTTGGGACTCATTAGCTTGATGCATCTGAGCTCTTAGTGAGTGGTGATGTTCCCACTGAGAATCGGAACTAGCACCCATGGTTTCAAGCACTGAAGGATTATCCACTAGGCTACTGTTAGTCAATACCAATCAAAGAAACTTCATGTTAACCCCAGACACCATAGAAGCATCCACATGTCAAAAGAGACTGAACACTTCGAGACAGCATAATCAAGCAATGGGAAAAGTGGAAGTAACCTAAAAAGGAAAACAATTTACTGAATAACCTAATTGTTAAATTGGCGTTGGAATGTGCCAGCGATGGTCAGCTTCAATACGCATGCACAAATTAAAATATGCTGTTTTGTGGAAAATGGGTTGTTGAATCAACATCAAAGTTAAATCTTCTCAGTAAATATTTTTCAGCTTAATCTGACTTTTGTTCCAGATTAATTTGTTTGAATATTATAAAATGAACATAAAACATCATTCAATAAATAATAGTGTATCGACGTATTTTATCAGATAAGCGTCCTTAATACAGAACTATTTTCTACCATATAGCCTACGTTCCCTTTTAATACTAATCTTACCCCCTTCCCCTTGCTAACATTAGTTGTCGATGTCCATATCCCAGTCACTTCACATGGTTAAAATTCAACAGCTCATCAATTGATTTGTATTTAATAATTTAATTTTCCTCATAATATTATTCAGAGCAATAAGAAGCAGAGCTCAAATTACTGAGATCTTGCAAGGCACTCAGAAACATGTAGAGGTAAATAATTCCCCAAAACTATAAGCCTACAGCATTCATCAGTCAACAGTGGATGTTGATCTTCATTATTTAAGTCAACTCTTTTATCTGAAGGCTCTCAGTCAAGCTTCTACGCAGTCTGGGACGCTATAGTGTTACCTTTGATTATTCATGCACGATCCCTAGCTGGCTATGCCATCATCATAGCACTACGGCTCTGATCTCAGAATATATTTAGTATTTTGGATGATCAGTTTGGTGTCTGAGCAGAGCAAATACTGTGGGAGTTGGTAGATGAGAAATTGCATCCGTATGCCTCGTACTTTGCGTCGACGTCAACACTCCCCTCATCTTCTAAAAGTGTCTTAATTACAGCGCAAAACTTACTGAATTGAAAACTAGTATAGATTTTAACTCAAAACAATTATTGTTTTAATTCATCTTCCATATTTTTAAAGCTTTTGCGGACGCGACTGTATAACCCATAGGGCAAACGATGTTGCAAGCTAAATATTGATTAGGTCATGCGCAATTAGTATAAATGTCGCTGTAAGTTGATAAATCCGATCATTTTTTTTAGTTCGATAGTTTTGAAAATTTGATTTTATCCTTACAAAACCCATTTTTGAACTACTAATATTTCTGAGTGAATTCTAATTTCGGAATATGATTCCATTTCTATATGCCATAAAACTTGTCGATATGTGCCAGTTAAAATTCACAGTCAACAATGGCCGATTTCATTGAATCCCTGCGAAATTCGTCACGGTTCATACTTTGATTGGGTGGGCACTAGGTAGTACCTAGTGTCATACGTCTAGTCTTTTGTTTGGCGCAGACTGAATTCAACAAGTCAAGTTTGCAATATGTACACCATTCTAAGTGGCTCGCCATCACGGTACACTCTAAATTTTTGTTATTAGATTGTTGCAGGACATTGGTTCCTCCTAGAATGCAGATACGCCCTACTGACGAGTGCTAACAAGCACGAAAGCTAGGCCTAAGACCTACTAACGATTTCTTCCAACTGTCTAGTATCCACACGATTCAATTCAGAAACATTAATCAGGTGAGATTTTCATCCACCTATCAGTATCATTCATAGTTCAACAAGAACTAAAGATTATTTCAGAAAAATTTTATAGTTATCTCAAGTATTCGTTATGTAGAAGGATAAATTCAGACTAGCTGTGAGTAATTAAGGAATATTTGCAGAAATGTTTCCCTGTTTCTTTGCATTCCGAGTGGAAAATAAGGCCCCAAACTTCGAAG